AAATACTAAACACTGTGCTTGTTTAGATTGTGTTGGTTGAGATTGCGCTGTGTTGAGAATTTGATTCGGTCGCAAATCACTGGAAACCGATCGCGCTCCTTTTACTAAAACAATAATATTTTTAATAAACAAAAACTTTTCTCTACTATTTTGCGTTTAAGCAAATAAACTGTGGTTCAGTAATCGTTTTTATTATTATTTCAGGCCATTTCACTCAAGTTGTGTGGAAAGGAAGCAAGGAAATCGGTGTAGGGAGAGCCGTGGGACAAGATGGACGCGTATATGTCGTAGCTAACTATCTTCCGCCGGGAAATATGCTCGGCGCTTTTAAAGAAAACGTGCTGCCGCCAAATTCAGTTCCGTCCAATGTTGTCAGTTTTGGCTAGAGTAAAATCCTATTTAAAGGTATGCAGAAAGATAAACTCAACCAACACCTAACATCCACTGCCAACAAGATGAGCAAACGCCATTAAAAAGATATAACCAGACAGAGAACAATGTGACCGTGGTCTTACCAAGTGAGATTGAAGACAGGTGATTGCGCTGCAACTGAAGGGCCTTTGACCTGGTCCTCGCTGGCTCTTGCTCAATCCTGATTTAAAGATGTACAGTGTAAGATTTTCCCGTGGAAAGCTCATGCTTAACGATCTTCTTGGGCGATTTTTACGCCCCTTTTCTCTGAATTGCCAACCTCTGGTCCCTCTTTTCTGACACGAGACATAACTCCGCAACAACATGGGGAAATAAAAAAGTCCTTAGCCCACACTTAAGCGATCATGTTTCAAAATCATCATCCCTTCGAGCTAGATTCTCGCACTGACTTTCGGTTGCCTACGATGAAAAACTGTGTGAAAGTTGACGGGCGGAAACGTTCCTACGCAAAAAAATTAATCTGGGTATTTTTGCGACGTTAATTTATGGCATTTAACTGTTAAAATTGTCAAAAAAAGTATTACTTGTTCTCAGATTAGTTCATCACGAAGTGGTAAAGGTACACTCCATGGGTTTCAAAATCCCCCAAATGCTTATTTTGCCATCTACAGCTTCTTGTCAAACTTACATACACCGAAAAAATTATTATTTAACCCATTCAATTTTTTGGGAGAGTACCTGATGTTGATATTTCCATTAGAGCTTATAGGAAAATTATTGGCCAGTCATTTTAAGCTAAAATCAACCTTTGTAAATTTTATCAAAGGTCGAATCCAAGTGCAGAAAGGGATAGAGGAATGATTCGTGAGTACGAGAAAATTGCTTATTTTCCCGGGAATATCCTTTTTGGTAGGTAAATCTGATGGGGTGTACCTTTTACATGTCCTTATTTAAATACCTTCACTTTGTCACTTTAAAGGAATGGCCTAGTCCATTGGCAAATATATTTTGTATACACAAGGTTTATTTTATTATGAACATATTTTGGATAAATGATTAGATGTGTAAAATTAAATTGAAGAATATTTGGAGAAAAACCTGCTGCAGTAGAATGGGAATAGATCGTAGGTTAAATCTGCCTTTTTTCAGATCTCCAATCTTAGAGTGAACCATCTCATCATGAAGTAAATAGAAGCCCTTTGAAGATGTGTCGCATATGAAAGGCGAACGTTTCAATTTCTTTATCATGCATGCAGAAATTAACTCATATAACATTTGAAGAAAAATATAGCTTATTTTATTGAATTAAACAGTGTACGTTCTAATAATACTCATTTTTTTACGGTTTTTAAAAATGCATTTGCACACTGCGTTTTATTGATGAGTACAAAAATAAAACATTTTCAAACGAGTTTCTATTCTTTTTTGTACGCCAATGTGTTCCAGTTTGGCTAAATGCGTAATATGAACGCAATGAGAAAGTTAATGTGACATAACTACAGCATACATGTAAGTGCACAGGTTAAGATACAAATGTAGAGTACATATACAATTTTCTTATACCACAACACCAGCCAATGTTGGTTCTACACAGAATCTAGTGATCAATCAACTGCTGTGTTAGCTTTTAACTGAAAGCTACACATTGCAATCTTTAATCAAATGAAAAAAATGATGGTTAAGGAGCCTGATATGTTCCCAATATATTAAAACGTAGACATAAAACGCATACACAAAAACCCTGCCTTCTGCACATCTTGATATTCAAAGTTTCAGTTCTGTTACCAAAACCGTTAATGAAATAAACTCGCGCAAAACCAGACAAAATTATCACTGTATATAACATATGGTAAAAAGTGTAACTTATAAAATGTGTCAACTACATAACAAAGAGTTTTATTGAATTAAATGAATATGACCTATATGTATATATCACCAAATAATATGATTATGCATTATATAAATTCATATGATTATGATTTTAATCATCTGGGTGAATAAGAGTGAAAAAAATTAATTAGTGTTGAACTTGTGAAAGTAAATGCTTTTTAATTAGAATTCAATGGAGTATGTGCAAAATCGTTATAACATTTTTTCCGATTTCTTGATTATACTTCGACATTATGCAAATTTTTCTCTTTTTGACATGTAAACCCTCAGATTATATTTAAAGTAGGTAGAATCCACTTTACGGTTACATTTGCTGTTTCCCTTTCACTGCAAAAAGGAAACTATTTTGCATGGGTCGAAATTCCATCGACTTAAAAGCATGCCGAGGGTTGTTATTAAGCGGCATGTGAACTGAATTGTGACAACAAAACTTTTTTAGTAAAAACTTGTCTCTTCACATTTTAACTTTTAATGGTACTCAGGCAGTGCAATCAGACGACTCATAAGCGGCTGCTCTCAATGCCTACGACCACCTCATTCATTTTCTTTTCGTCTTCAGTATCAGTAACGGCTTCACCATTTGACACCGTTGTTCCATTTTGCTTTGCCTCTTCTGTCTGTTTCATTTCCATCTCCTTAGCTTCCTCAGCCTGTAAAAAGATGCACAATTTGGTAACAATATTCGAAACATCAAATCTGCATCAAGTTCCTATTTATTTTTATAATTATAATCATTACGCTGATTCTTATTACTACTCTAATTATAAATATCTATTTCTGTATACCATTTCCAACTACTGATGTACGTGGTTAATTGTTAAAGGAATAACAACTCTTCTCATGAGATCTATATTTCACAATAAATACACTGTAAACGACACATAGAAATATAACATATTCTAT